TACATGTATATGAATACATATATATACATACATACATGTATATATATTGAAAACATTAATGATTTATTGTTTCATATATAAATAGAAGCCATGTCCTACTCAGAGACATTCCACGGCAAACTATGCCTGCTTATTTGAATATTCTTTTATTTTTTCATCTGAATAGCTGAAATAATTAGAGTTGTGTTAGTAATTAGTTCCTTCTAGATTACCCTGAAACAATAGAACTGCTTAACTCTAAACGTTCCTTAGCAAAATTTTTATCTGTAAGTTTCATTTTTAGATCAAAATTCTTAAGTCTAACAAGTATGAAAAGAATAAAAACAAATAAATGAAATCTCTAAACATGCAAAAGCAACGTTCAAAATGTAAATGTAGCATCAAAAATGAAAGCAAAACTAAGCCTTCTGTAAAACTTTGATTTCTCTTGTTTCTTCATATGCATTACAATACAGTTTAATGTAGCCACCTGCATTTTATTGTGGCACCAGACCCTTTTTAATGTATTTGATGGCCACACGTGTAACCTGAAGAAACTTCAGATTGTGTCTATCCCTGCGTATCAGTATTAGACCTTGCTACAATCCCTACTCTTCTAGTACTTTTTTCTAGTTCTCTTCATTCCCTTGTCATGCTCCGATAAAAATTACTATTTTTACAGAACCTTATCAGCGCTCATCACTGCAACAGAAAAATGTTTCACAATTTACAATTCCTGAGAACTCTTCCCCTATCCGGGAGAATATTATCACTCTATTTATTGATAGATTTGGTTCCAAACTGTCTACCAAATGAGTATCTAACTGAAATGTCAAGGACCTACTACTTTGAAAGCAGAGCATTTATAAAGTACTCATGGACCACTCTACTGATTTCAGTGCTCATCATCTTTGCAAAACAGTATGAGTAAGTAGTTAACAGTATTGTAATGACAGTATTTTGCCTAGTATCTTAAAGACAACCATCTAGAAAATTCATCATATTATTTATTTATTTATAAGTCTTACATCTTCCATACACAAGGGAATGAGAGCTTGTATTGACCAAACTGGATTTTTCCAGCAGTATGGCTCCAGGATACTTCACAGATGGATGAAATAGAATGACTTCAAATACACATGGGTGGGACATGTGCAGCAGGTGAACAAGATTACTGTACTGAATCAGGCCAAAGTGTATCTGGCACCTCCAACAGTGTCCAGAAGCATAGCCTAGGAAAAAATGCATTGCTACCTTCTCCAAATGTTCTTCCAGTCTCTAACTGGTGGTTCATGGGTTTCCAGAGCCAGCAGTGAGGTCTGTATTTTTAGCTCTCCCCAGTGGATTTTCATTCTGTGATAACATTTCATAACATCTTGCAGGAAGGACATCTGCAGATTAGCTATATGCTTTTTGAAAAAAATCACCTGATTTTGGCTCCTCTAATCTAGCCACTTCCAGCTTCGGCTGATTTCTAGGAACCAGCTGGAACTGGACCAGATAGATGACAGCTCTGTCACATTAGATTTTCACACTATTACTTTTACAGACCCTTACGATATTTTTTTTGATGAAACTGCAGAATTGTGAGGTGGAGCTGCCTAGAAAAGAGCTGGTATTAGAACTGTTAAAAATCTGTTTTAAACTTTTTCAACATGGAAAACTCCAAGTAACAAGGAATAACAGAACCTAGGAGGGAAATGCTGTTTCCCTATCTGTATTTTCACTATTCTTTTCCTAACTCTTCTCATGTATACTGTAACCAACTTAAGATGGAAAAGACCAGAAACATACATTGTTATTCCAGGTGAGGGCATGACATCTATTTACACCTCATTGTTAGGATATTTTTATTCTGTCTCTGTACCTTTCTTAGCAATTCTAATTTGTTTTTGGCAATTGCTAATTACTACACTGACATTTTTGTGGGACAATTCATTATGATCAAAGCATCTAATTTCTGAATGAGAACAGTCAGTTCAAAACTAATAACTTTATGCAGAGCTTCAGAACTAGTTTTTCTCTTATAGCAGCCTTTTGGGCTTTATTGGTCAGCTCTTCTTATAAATGTGCTGTTTTAAAACTTTAAAGAACAGAGTTGTGAAGCTTGGTTCCCCTTTTCTCAGAAAAAGGAAAAAGGTTGCCTCTCCCCAAAAGTATTCTCTTTAACCAGCAGTTTATTTTTTCGTTGTTGTTTCCTTCCATATTCCACCAGTTTGCCCAGTACAGACTACATCACCAGCCCACACCTGCCTAAGTGACCCCTATAACCTTTTTTTTTTTTTAAATAATTGTGTATTACAACTAATGTCTTGGTTATACAGTATACCATAAAGCTTGTAGTATTTCATCTTTGAATTCCTGTAGAGCCCTAACACTATTTGTTATTATTCTGTTTATCACCATCTTCTAGTGAGGCTGCAGTTTGCTGTAGATTCTTTGAAGATTATTCTAACAGGAAAGAAATCCTAAAGATTATTGTAACAGGAACCTTCCTAACTTTTCACAGTGAACACAGAAATGGAAAATGCATTTAGTTCTTCTGCTATAGTCAGATCTCTAAATTCTTTTCTACTTAATCATCTACTGGCACTAAAAAGTGTCTCAAAGACTTCCTGCTCCTGATGTGTTAACAGGACTATCAAAGTAAATCAACTACATTTACTGATTACACTAATCGTCACATTTTTACCTTTTGAGTGAATTGCTCTTCACACTCGGTTCACCTTCATTACCACAGTTGTATACACAACTTTCCAGAGTACACAGTCTTCTTCATTATATTTAGATAACTTTAAGAAATGATCCTTACTTCTGTTCATCTACATTACCCTCAAGTAAAAATAAATAAATAAATAAATAAATCTTCTTTAGACCTTTCACACTACTTCCTTGATTGTTGGTAACTGCTCTCTTTACACACATGAATTTAGAAACCCTCCCAAAGATGTGCTAGTGCATATATCAGATGCCATCCTGACATATTACTTGATCAGGAATTCCTACCTGTTATGTTCTCATATTTGATTTGGACTGAACATATATCACAATCATTGAGTAAATGGCCTCAAAAAACAGTGTAGACATCTGCATGAAACTTTCCTTTTATAGACAGCCACTGAAGAATTAAAAGGATGTCATCATCAGGAGAAGAAAATAAGTGTACATTCTTGACAGAGACAAGAATGCAGCTACTGAGTAGCTGAGAGGATCAGAAATAGTGTAGATTTTACATATTCAGGTACTGAACATGCTCAGGGACTTCAGCAGGTGGGTAAAAGACAACACACCGTCCGTGTGGAGTACAAGGAGGTTAATCAGGCACTGTGTGGTAGACTGTGTATCCCACCTAGTCTGCAAACCTAGAAGTATTTTAGTTAGTCATGCTGTAACTTGTCTACCAGCTTCAGAACTAGCCACAATCACTGCCGCCTTCTGTGTCTCTCCTCATCTAGAGAGACAGTAAGAGGATGTTTTTAATGTATAACCCTGCTCAAATTATTCAGCTATGAGTGCATCTCACTTCTAATAATGTGAATAAAAATAACCAACATCATACTGTATACTTATAAACTACCTAAAAAAAACTCAACTGACTCATAGCATAAAATCAAAGTACAAAAATAATATATAGTTTAGATGAGATTTCCAGAAGAAATAGGAAGTCTAGCTTTTTACTTTTTGTAGATAGTTTATGCTGATATTATTTTCAGCAACTCTCTTTAAAAGTTTAAAAATTATCATAATTTCAAAAGCACGTTTAAGATTAAACTCATTTGAAATGCACATTACTGGTAAGAAAACTTTTCTTTTTGTTAATATAAACAAAGTTCCCCAAAATACAGTATTTTTTTCCCCTTTTTTCAATATAGAAAAGTGAATGGACTGGTCACATTTAAGTGTGTATGCATGCATGTACATTTATGCATTTATACACGCATAAACATATGAAAAAGCGAATGTTTTACTGTATTTCATCAATTTGAAATACATACCCAATTTTCTAGTTTTTCAACATCCAAATTTGTTGAATACCTGTCCCAATTCTTTCTAAATCCAACTTCAAATTAGATATGTTTTTTATTATAATTATATTATTTGTTTGTATTATTATTTTATTATTATATTAACTTAACTTTGAGATCTCATCATACACTACAAGATACACACAGGAAGCTTATTTTAGAAGAGATTAAACCTTTCATACAAGCATAAATGAACAATCATCAAGACAAACCTGCTGAATAGGTTCTTTGCTGTAGTATTATACCAGGTATGACCTCAATCTAGTAAGAGTTGTGTTAAAAAAAAAAAAGCTTAAGACACCTACTACACACAAAGTATAGTTTTGTATTATCTGTACATGAGACTAGGAATGGAAAAAAAAAGATCCTTCAACAAAAGACCAACAAAAGTAAAGAAAATATACACTCAGGATTTTTTTTTTCCTCATAGAATCCTGCATATTATGCAGGATGCTTTCTTCATGCCTGGATAAAATAACTATTTGTTACAGCATTTTAAAAATCACAAGCTGCATATTCAGGAAAACAAAACAAAATAAAACAAAGGCAACATTCAGATTTGACAGAAAAAAGATATGCAACATTCAGAAAGCTAAACATGATATCACATGCAAGAAATATTTACCCAACAGAACAAAGCACATGAATATGCATTTTAAAAGAATCATAAAAAATGGAATAGGAAAGCAACATGACTATCAACAGACACCAAAACCTGACTTGTATCAGGAACAACAAACTGTTAGATATTAGTGTTTCAACATAAAGCACGCATAATAGTGCACCACTGTGCATGAGAGTATTTCCAAGTTTTTGAACATAAGCAGAAAGAAAAGTTAAAGGAAGTAAGAGACACTTCAACAGCATTTAAAATGCAAGTAACTGCACTTCAGTCACATGAAGATAGCAAATTTCCCTCTAGGACAAATATGATAGATCATGCTAGAGTTGTGTGACAAACAGAAGAGCTGGAGACAGGGTGGTAGAAGATCTTACCACTAAGGCTGAAAATCTCAACTGCCTTGGGGCTTTTTGGCCATGGGATCTCAAACAGCTATAAAAGAAACATATTTTGGAGAAAAAAACTTAATATGTCACCTAGCAATGATCTGAGCAATTTGTAAAGATAACTGAGTATTTTTCCATTTTTTTTGAAGAGCCTCCTTACACACCATTTCATGAAGCTGTTATTTTGTTTACTATACCACGTTTCCAATTTCCTAAAGACTAGAAAGGTACTTACATACTAGCTCATCTACAATCATGATCTGTAGTTTAGTTAAGTCACATTAAAATGCAAATTCTTTCTGAAGCACATACTCAAGATTTTGAAACCTGCATCTCCACCAGTTTCTCTTGGTTTGTAGCAATCTGAATCTGCTTATTCTCAGCAATGATTTCTTCTGCCACTGAAAAGAGGTGAACCATACTTAAGGCAGACCAAATACCAAAATATTTATACAATGAAATCAGCTTGCATTGAATGAATTGGTAAAGGATTGAAAATATTTAAGAACATGTGAAGACTTTAAAATATTTTTCAAAGGTGTTGATACAAAGCGTTAAGGCACAAACCTGAGAAATTTGTTGCCTTCTAACTTAACTCTTAAACACAGCACAAAGCATTGCAAAAAAACCCAACCAACCAAACAAAAAAAAACATAGACTGCCATTAAGATACCAAGAAAAAGAGAAATATCATCCAAATATTCGCTATGTAATTAACTCAAAGTAAGAAATCACTCAGCTTTGCAGAATCTCTAAGATTACTATGACACTCAGAGCCACATACTGAAAAATGCCCAGGTCCAAATGATTTTGCTAACAGTTTGCTAAGAGAACCCACCATTACTTCGATACTGACACCATCCTATGAAGAGGAGGATATGAGCCAGTTTTCCACCTTATTAAATAATTTATTATTAGATGCAACATAAGAATATCTCAACAGAGCAGTGAGTGCAATTGCAAGCCATAACTAGATCAAAGTCCAGGTCACCAGTCCTGAATTAGACATTACAAACTTAAGGATAAATCATCACAGGACTTCATGTACATTATAATGGATTCGTAGAACGTAGTTACATATTATCGATTATTTTCACTGACATCAACTTGTTGTTATGCCCCAACTCAATCAGCCAAAGTTCTTTATTAATATTCAGATTTGCTAGCCAGGTTTTTGCATTCTAAATATGACTTTATATTGGTTCTTCTGGTTGCCCTTCCAGGCTTCATCCTTTGTTAATGCCCACATCAATTAAGAGAGACAGATTACTGAATTATACTGTTAACTTTTCTCATCAATTTATCTTTTTTTTTTTTTTTTTTTGACTTACTGTGTGACGGAAGATAAAGTCTCTTAATGTTTACTATGTCTGAAGTTAAAACCAGAATAATATTCTCTCCCTACAAAAAGAGTTTTTTCACTAGAATCATCCTTTAGTCTCACTGTAGGAGCTTATAAAAGTGCACATCTGTGACACAAAGATATTAAATTATCACTGATGTGACTTGATTTAGGGCAGATTTTTCTGATGGACCAATAAGTAATTTGTACGCTACTTATTACTATTTCCAACTCCAATACATGTAATGGCACATTAGCAAACCTGATACAACAAAATCAAAATGTAAATTTATATAAGCAAAGGTTGGAGTATTTATCAACTAAAACAGATCAGTGAAAATAATGCATGACATTTTAGAAGGCACATACTTGTGTATGCAGAGCAACCAAAATGCTAAAAGCAAAACAACAACAAAACCAAAACAAAACAATAATATATAGGAACTCATCATCACAGTTCAAGTTACCATTTAATCTCAATTACAGCTCTGCCAGTTGGAAGAAGAAAAAAGACATACAAGCTTCTTAAATGCTAACATCAAAACAAAGAACATACTCTTGAATAATATCAAAGACAATAGAATAGGAGGGTAAGATAGGCAATAATAATAAATAGCATCAGAAATACATTAGACATAGAAATGGTATGTTTCACATGATGGCAATACATATACATATACAATTGCTAACTGAATAGGATGATTAATTCTGAGATTCACTGATGAAAACAAAGCAAACTTTTATCCTGGAGTGACAGGTATACCAAATTTCTTTCTGGAGCTTCTCCAAAGCAAATACTTGTCAAACCACAATCCTTCTGCTCTTTTAGCATCCAGCTCTCTGTGAAATAACTGCGAATTTAAAGCTAGGAAGGCCAATAAAACACCACAGAGCTCCACAGAGAAAGCAAGAGTGCAGCCAAGATTGCAACAAGAAATCAACCCTCTCCTACAATCACACCCATAAAAATCACTCCCATAAAAAACTACAGAGCTAAACTGTTCTGGGGATAATACAAGCCAAGAGACGTTCAGATCAGGACCAGTGATCAGTACAGAGCTGCAGCCTAGCCTGTTTGTCATCAAGCACACAGGAAGACTTATAATTTAGAGGAATGCCCTGAACTGGTTGTGTGAATGCTGCCAGAGCACTCAGCCAGAAGTGCTGAACCTGATAACCTTAGCCCTGTCTTAAAAGATCATAATAGGAATGACATTTTGCTGAGAGGCTGACAGTGCTATCAGAAAGACAAATTAACTTCACTTATCTAGACTTTTGTACCGAAGTATATAATAATTTAATTTCCCAATTCCTTTCCTATTTTTATTTAAGTTCAATCCATTTCACAGGGGCTTTTAGACCACATGTACAGAACATCTTATTTTGCAATGCAGAATAGCAGCCCTGTTTTAACTTCCTTCTTCCTCATTTTTCGTGGAGGCCTATACATTTCTAAAGAAATAATTTATTAAGCTGTAGGAAGTATTTTTCAATTGCACATGTTGCTATCAGTATACTAAGTAATTAAGCTTTAAATTTATAAGTTACTATACATACTTGTATTTTATGTACATAAATGTGTAAGCTGCATGGTATTTTGTTACAGTTTTTGCTGTTTCCTTCAGAATCTTGTCCTCAGACATACCTCTGCGTTGAAGAACCTTCTCTATTGATATACACATGTCCTATACAGGAGGGCAATAGAAGGGTGAAAAAAATAACAGTTTTACTCTAGTCCAGGGAAGTAAGCCTTTTTTTAAAAAAAAATAAATAAATACATAAAAGGTCTTTATTTGGCAAATATTCAGAGCAGTTTAAATACACCAAATACATCGTCTTTCAACTACTTTTCAGGTGTCCTGCACTTCTCTTCAAATCACGCCAGGAACTGACAAAAGAAGCCCTAACAGACTGATTTCCATATGCTAAAGCTGTTTTAAAAAAAAAAAAAAAGCAAACACAAAACAAAACCTAAAAACTCTTCAGTATGCAATGTCTTTGATTAATGATTGATGAATTAAATATTTCTTCCTAAGTACATCAGGAAAGGTTTTGAACAAAGGATTTGAAATACTTTTCAAAGTATTGAATGGAAAATTCTGCTTCTATGTCCTTTACAGAAGCTTCCTTAGAGCTCTATTTATCATCAGATTAAGGAGTTTTCAGATGAGTTCCCATATTTTGAGACTTTGATTATAATACAAAATACTGAGTTCAGAAAACAAATGATAACTGAAGTTGCCAAGCTGTCCATCCTAGGAAAGCTGTGTTCTCAGCGTGAACTCACAATGGAATCAGTTTTGTTCCTGTACAGCCATGATGTGAAAACTTCTTCAGACACATTTGGGGTCCTTGCAATCAATACATAAGAAAACAGTCCTACACAGTTTTGTTTCAGCTTGCGTTCTACAGAAACATACAGGTGCATTTGGCTAAATGTTCTTTAAAATGTTAAGAAATTGCTTTATGTTGGTTTTGTTTGATTTAAAAGATCACACGCAAACCTCAGGCATCACTGCTCTGACTGACGTTATGACACTGATCTCACACTCAAATGCATTAAAGCAAGTTCACTGGCACATTTTGACCTTGAATTTCCCATGAATTTGTTGGTAACAACACTCAGTGTAAAACTGGGCAATGGTTATCTAACATGCCCTTCCAGCATTTCTCAGACTTTAACATTTATTTACAATTTATTAAAAACATATATAAGTGCAGAAATAAACAGATGCATTTATTTCAGCCTTAAGTGACTACTTTAGTACCATGTCACTCAATGAAAAGTCCATGCTTGTAATGTGGTTAACAAGAACAGGTAAACTAAAGCCAAAGGTTTATCCAGCCCTGTATCCTGTTTTTAACAGTTGCCAAAATTGAATACCTGGGGGTGCTTAAGGAACAGACTACAATGCAGGAAAACACATAATGATACCTCTATAAAATATAATACAGCCTCAAACGAACTGTAGATCAGGGACTTTCAAAGCCAGAGGAGGTGACTTCGTATTTTAATAGCCTTCAATTAATTTGCTTCAATGAACTGTCCTGTAATCTATACTTTTAATCCACATGTACTTCTAATTTTCGCAACAATCCAGTGTTAAGGATTTCCAAAGCTTAATTGCATCCTTTTATTTTCTCAACCTGCTACTTGCTATTTTTATGCTTCCTCATTCCAATAATGGGAGAGAAAAGGCATGTTCCTTATGGTATCTTAGAAATAAATTTAACAGAATGGTTCCAGCACACCCTGCTGAAGGACTCCTTCCACTAATACAAAATTAGCCATTTACTCTCACCTGTTTCCCATATTCTTTCTGTTTTTGTTTTTTTTTTTTTAATTATTATTTTATTTTATTACTTTTTTTATTGTTTGTTTAAAGCACGAGCAAGTCTTCTCTTGAATTCCAGACTTATTTCCTTTTAGAACAAGGAAATTCAGCTAATGCCTGTTGGAAATTCTACAGGCCTACTTCAAATTCTATTCAGTGTTCTGTCACTGTTTTTTTGTCTGTGATTTTTTACCGCAGATTTTTAAATACTTCTGACATTTAAAAATACTTATTTTAACATATTTCCACTACTTTAAAAGTGGACATTTTTTGTATTCATCATGAAATTCTCTTAAAAATTATCCTGACTTTATGAACTAGCCTACATTAATGTGAATGACCACAGCTATGTCAGTGATCTCTTAATTG